CTTGTTATCCGTTTTATACGTTCACTTATCAAAACACCATTAAGACACACCTTTGAAGTAACGCTTCAAATCTGTGTAAGTATTTCATCATTGAAACACCATTTTAAAAAAAGTTAAGTAAGCTCAAACAATCCCTACCATAAAACATAAATTGTGTTGCTGGTGCTGTTATTATTATTTTTTTTCTTTTTTAACTATTAAAGGAAAACTAAATACTTTTTTTTTTTTTTTTCAAAGATAAATGAATGTGTTGCAATTTCAAATCAAAGTTAAAGATAAAAATGTGTCCTTATCATAGCCAAGAAACGAAAAGTTAAAATACAATGAACGATTATGGTAAATAGATCCGTTTACAAAAAGACATTGCTCGAATTCATAACACAGGTTGAATTATCCCCTTCTGGCCACAAAACCATCTTGATCCAATTAATTCTTCATTGATTTTTTGTTGTTGTTTTTTGTTTGAATATTTGTTTATTTTTAATTTTTAAGGTGTTTTTATTTTAATTATTTGGTGAATAAATTATCCTCGGTTGTATTTGAGAATTTCTGAGAGCCAGAATTGAAGGATGTGCAAAGCTGCTGTGCGGGAAGAAATCATACTTTCAAAGAACCCTTTTATGTTTGCCATAGTCCATGTTGCATGGGGTGTTTCTAAAGTCATGGGGTGTTTCTATAGCCATGGGGTGTTTCTAAAGTCATGAGATGTTTCTATAGCCATGGGGTGCTTCTAAAGTCATGGGGTGTTTCTATAGCCATGGGGTGTTTCTAAAGTCATGAGATGTTTCTATAGCCATGGGGTGCTTCTACAGTCATGGGGTGTTTCTATAGCCATGGGGTGTTTCTAAAGTCATGAGGTGTTTCTATAGCCATGGGGTGTTTCTAAAGGCATGGGGTGTTTCCATAGCTATGGGGTGTTTCTAAAGTCATGGGGTGTTCCCAAAGCTATGGATTTTTTCCATTGTCATGGGGTGTTTTCATTTTCATGGGGTGTTTATATGGCAATGAGTGTGTGTTTTTTGTTCATAAGCCATGGGGCGTTTCCATAGCTATGGGGTGCTCCAAGTCTAGCTGTGACAGTTTATTCTTAGTCAGTGGGAAAACTTGATTATAGTTTTTGGCCTTAATTTTTTTTTAAATGCTGTAGATTGAATTACGAAGTTAAAATTGACCGGTCATAGGTAAACCTCCTAAAGATATTAGCATTTATGAGTACGTGGCTTCATACAACTGTACAAGAAATCACTTCATACAACATACAATTGGACAAGACACCACATTACACAAAATACAATTGGACAAGACACCACATTACACAACATACAATTGGACAAGACACCACATTACACAACGTACAATTAGACAAGACACCACATCACCCAACATACAATTGGACAAAACACCACATCATCCAAAATACAGTTGGACAAGACATCTTATACTTCTCTGAACGCTTCCAACGAGAGTATCATCGAGTGCGCACAGTAGACTTAGCTGTACCAATCAACGCCTCTAATATTCCAGTCTAGACGGTCGCACATGTTTCGTGTCCCCCCCCCCTTTCCCCCCCCCCCCCCCCTTTTTTTTTTTCTTCTCTCTTGTAACATAGCCTGGAGCTGCTGGCAGACGATGAAGCTTGAAGAAAGATGGGCAACAGCGAAAACTTGTCATCATATGTCAGTGAAAGCGATGTTGAGATTTGTTGTTTGTAAAAAAAATATATATATTCCGTGAATAGCACAGTGTCGCCGCAAAACCAGGAATTTTTGTTCAGCTGTTTTGTTATTGCTTGAATCATCGGCGTAGCCACTGCGACTGGAGGCGGGTGTGGAGGGGGGTGGGGGGGCGATGTCATGACATAAAAAAAAAGGGGGAGAATTACCTCTGACCTCTCTTTATCATACCGTAATTAAATGTATATCATTTACACATACAAAAGTTAAGACCAAAGACTGTGGCTATTGAAAACATTTAATTAACTAGTGGACACAATATAAGTTTTGAACTAACCTGAATTTTATATTTCAATATGATATATTAAATAAAAAAGATTTATTAATAAAGAAGAAGGCGCTAATCTATAAATATCCCACATCTTTATATGGTACTTGCTGCAATACTATTCGTAAATTTCTTTCTTTTTTTTTTTTTTTTTTTTTTTTTTTTTTTTTTTTTTTTTTTTTTTAAATAAAATTTTTTTTTTATTTAGAAATAAAGTTTTGACACATTAATTTAATCCAATATGAAAAATCGACTGGGGTACGGTTTATTGAATTCTAAAATGATGTCAATTTTAGATTATTCAATAAACGATGGCCCCAACGTGTGCATACATCTCCCAGGACTGATGGGGTCAGCATGGGTGGTAGCATATCCGGCAATTTGTTTGAAAGGAATTTCGTCGACAGAAATTGATCGACGGAAATTTGATTGAACGCCAATTTGGTCGAATATTTTTTTCAGTTCAACGTTAAAATTTTGCGTCAAATTTCTTTTTAATGGCATTATTTTTAAAAAAATTATATAATATATTGCGCATACCGTATAACTTCATGGACAGCTGGTTACGCCCCTGCCTTCTTTTGCACCCTCAGGTCGCCCTACCCCACCACCACCACCCTCAGATTCCCCCGTCTCCGCAGCGGATAGATCATTTACCTGTCTTCGCTCTATCAATTCTCTTCATCTGTCTATGCCAGTGCCACTGTCACACTCGAGTACAAGAACGTAACAAGATCCTGCAAATGTCGACGCTTTTCGTTCAATTTTTGGCCGTCTTTCCTAAAGATGTACGAGTCAGATTCAAGAATTTAACACCGGAGGCGTATCCGAGCTCGTAAACGTTTGGTCCACAAAATATGTCATCAATAATTTATTCAATTTTGCTAATGTTTTTTTGTTGGTTTTTTTTTGTTTTTTTTTTAATATATATATATATTAATAACAATATATTTACACGGCATTGACAATATTTCTAAGATAAATGCACACTACAAAAAAAGTCTTTAACGGCACTTGGTACATTAAAAAAAAAATGCTCTTGAGACACAACATATTGAACATGAATGCTTTGGATCCCACATTCATCAGATTCTGAAGGAAAGAACAGACGCCCATAAAAGCGTATATCATTTCAAAGTAAATTTATTTTAAAAGAAAAAAAAGTAATTGTTGTTTGAAAAATTAAGATATTTTCCCCAAATTTTAATTGCGTGTAGCAGAATATTAGGAAGAGTGGAATGCGTGGCTGGAATCCGATTATTGTTTTCCCTCCGGCCCGCTAGCCCGCAGGCTTTCCCCACCGTGCCAATTGTTGTGTTTCAACTCCGTCATGTTTGCGTAGATTTCGTCTTGCCGCTCACAGACAGCCGTGTAAATTGCTTGTTGAAATGGTAGACGTCAGCATTGAATGGTATTTAAACATGAGCCAGGGGTCGAGGCGGGGGGGGGGGCGTAAAGAGGGGGGGGGGGGGGGTGGGGAAGGTATAGCGTTCACGGAGTGCTCATACAGTTTTGAGCCAAATAATCCAGAGAATTAAAATCTTTCATGAGAGTAATCTTAAGGTAAATATACATCATCGTCATTGGCACTACATCACATGGCGGGCTTCGGTCTGCTCCACCTCCCCCTTCCATTCTGACCTCATCATCAATGATACTACATCCCATGGAGGGCTCGGCCTGCTAAACCACACCCTTCCATTCTGACCTCATCATCAATGGTACTACATCCCATGGAGGGCTCGGCCTGCTCCACTGCATCATTCCATTGTGACCGATCTGTCTTTTCGTCTCCATGTTGATACTTAATCCTTGCTATTATATGTATTTTTTTCTATTTTGATAATATAATATAAGTTAAGATAAGACTCTTTATTTATCCAAATAAATAGAAGTGTTTATTTTTTATTGGGCCATGAAGCGTCCAATCAGAACAGTGGGAAGAATTAGTTTAAGTTTAAAGAAAGGTCCAAATGTTAAGTACATTATACATACTCATTTTCAGCACATAAAAAAATACATATTTTTACCAAGACAACATTTTACAATTTTAAAAATTTAGACAAAAGAAATCTAAATTATTTCTCTAACGTAGAAATCAACATTCAATAAGCTCTTTTAGTGACAATAGTGACATCATTAGTGAGCATTTAGATTTGGTAACCACGGGGGGGGGGGGGGG